GGGAGGAGGCATGCTCCGTGTGTGCACGTGTGGAATCCATGTGTGAAGTTGGAGGCCAGGTGAGCATCAGGTGTGGTTATCAGGCACTGACCACGATCGTCAGTCAGGTCTCCGTGAACACGTCCTGTCTGGCCTGGAACTCCCGGGGAGCCTGGGTCACCAGCGATCGCAGAGATCTGCCATGCCTGCCTGTTATGTGAGTGCAGGGTCACACCTAGAGCTCTACACTTTCAAGGCAACAGAGCCATCTGCCCAGGCCCTGGGTTGGGTTTTGTTAAAAAATAAACATGGGGGTTTTGTTTCTGAGATGGGGTCCTCCTACCTCAGACTCTGAAAGCTGAGTTCACAGGTATGTTCTCCCCACCCAGGCCATGTGTGGATGTGTGTGCTCCTGGAGCACATTTGGAGGGCTGCCAGCCTGCTTCCCAGCTCACCCCCAGCAGCCCATCCCCATGCACTGGGGTCCCATGCCTGACCCATCCAGGCAGTGATTCATGTGTTTGCTTGTGGACTCCTATTTACATGATGCTCTGCTGGGTTGTGGCCAGCAGCCCGCCCGCCCGCCCGCCCGAGGATGCAGTGAGTGAGCGGACAGCACAGCGGCCATGGCACCAGCCCCGAGATCACTGACAGCACCTCCCACACACTGGCTCTCCGCACGGCGGGGCAGGAGGGAACCCTGGGCAGTCAGCCTGGCTCCCCAGTGGAAATGTCCAACCTCTTTCATGGGTATGCAGCAGTAACCTCTCAAGATAAAGGGGACCGCTGAAAAAACCAGGCATGGGGCCCACCGGGCTGGAGAGCAGAAGCCCACACGCGTCTCTACAATGTGGACAGCTACACCACAGGCCATCAAGTATCCACACCCCACCAAAGACACCCACAAAACCCAGCACCGAGGCAAGCCTCACCAGCATCAGGCCGTTTCCCTCCCACACTGGGGACCCCATGGGGGAGGAGCTAGCTCTTGGAGGCTTTGCAGAGATCTCCACAGGCTGGGCCGCTCCTGCCCCTCTCCTCACTGGAACACTGAACAACAGCAGCTTGGGGGCAGCGAAGGCATGCCCGGTAGACTGGCACCCCGAGGTGCCTGCACTGTGGACCTCGAGGACAGTGAGGAGACGGGTGTGGCTCAGGCCTACTCCAGGACCTGTGTGCCTCCAGGGGCAGGGGGGTGTCTGGTGCAGACTGCACCTGGGCAGTGAGCCTGGGCAAGGCTGGCAGTAGACGGAAGCATCTACTTCTCACTCTTGCCCAGCAAGGGACACACCTGGGCAACTGTCCCCTAGAACACCCCTCCCTCCTGGGCTCTGTCACCGGACAGAGTGTGTCCACACACAGGGTCACCAGGAAGTCATCAGGAAGTATCAGCAGGTTTCTGACCGTGGCTCCGTGGGCAGAGCGCTCAGCTAACATGCATGAAGCCCCAGGGCCGTCCCTAACACAGAAAACAAACCATCATCTCAACACGCAGGAGGATCGGGAGTTCAAGGTCAGTCTGGGTTACATGAGACCCTGTTTTCAAAATCATTATCACAGGTCAACACTATGATGGCTCAGTGGATAAGGTTGCCTGATGCTGAATTTGATGCCCATCTCACCCCTGGGATCCCCGGTAGGAGAGAACAGTCCTCCATACACATGGGGCAGTAGCACATGTATACCCCATATAAACACATGCTAAGTAAGCACGCTGACACTTTTAAAAGTGCACACACACACAGAGGCACTCTCGGGGCTAACACCCTGCCCCCAGCACCCCTGCATCTCTCTGGAGGCATGTCCGGTGACAGCCCAGGACTCCACCTGTCACGGTGATGCACTCAGACGAGGAAGGGTCATTTCAAAAGGGTGCACACGTCTGCAGGGAGCCAGCCCTTCACACCCTTCAAGTCCCCAGACAGGACATTACCGACACCCGTGACAACAGCCTGTCTTCAAGTGCACCTCTGCAGAGGGCAGGTGGAGGCCCACCATGGGCCCGGCTGGGAGCCAGGGCTGCATGGAGCGGGCAGCACTGAGCAGGGCAGGAAAACCCAGAGCATGGACGTCGGGCGGTGCCAAACGCAAGGCCTGGTAAAGACATCAACGTCAGGGAAGAGGTGCCGCACTCATGCACGCCCACATCACACATGAACATGGGGTACCCCAGGTCACGGCAGGCAGCAGGGCCTCTCCAAGGATCGGAGAGAAGGTACCCAGGTGAGGCTGGCCCTTCAGGAGTTCCCAGGGTGGGGTTGACAGCCACTTTCTCCTGGGGAAGAGCTGAGAGGGTAAGGACTGGCCACTGTGTCTCCTTCAGCATGGCTGGAGGTCCGCAGACCTGTGACCTGCAGAGACGCCCCTTACAGGTCCAGGAGCTCCAGGCCCTGGAGAACGCCAGCCCTCATGAGGCACCTGAGCTCAATGTGGCCCCTTGGCTCCACTGCCCACCTATGATGTGGGGGGGGGGGGCAAGACCCAGGTGGCACCCAGCAACAAGAAGTGTATGGTGGGAATGGGGTATCCGCAGGGCTGGGCAGGAGGGATGGCAAATGGGGGTGCAGAACAAGGATCCTCTATCAGACACCAAGCCTGGGAGGCTCAGAGCAGGCAGTCTGGAGCAGGAGCAGACCCCACCTCATTGCTTACACCCCTGAACCATGGGGTTTCTGGGCCAGTGAGCAGCTGCCCACCTTCTGAGTGGACATGGCAAGGAGACATCAGGGCGTCATCTGTCCATCTACTGTCCCCATGCACCCTACCGTCAGCTGGGGACACCACGATGGCCACTGCCTGGCTCCTGTCAGTGCCACCAGGCCAGGGGAGGTGGACAGGCCAAGGGGGACCTGGAAGCCGGCATGAGATGGGGCCAGTGTAGGGGATGGTGGGAACGACCTGAGGGCACCATGGCTGCCCCAAGACACGAACCAATGCCTTACCACTCCCCACTCACAAGAAGAGCCACGCAGACACGGGCTACGTGGCAGTCTGTGACGCCCAGGAGAGGGAGGACACCACCAGATGGCTGTCACTCCTACACGGAGGGCCAGGGAAACAGATAACCTTGGTGACGGCAGTTGTGGTGTCTCAGGCACACCTGAGCATGTGCAGAGTGACCTGGGACCCCAGAGAAGAGGAAATGCTACTCGTACTGGCCCGGGCTGAAGCTTGCAGCTAAAAATAGAGCGCCTGGAAGGCAGGCAGGCCTTCCCAGCCCTAAATAAACCCTCCCTGGCCTGACCCACAAGGCCCAGAGCCCAGGCTGTTCCCAGGGGTGAGCCTAGGCTCAGGGGAAATGCTGGGCTGGCCTGAGCAAGGATAGGCCACGAAACCAGCTACAGGGTGCTCACTTGGGGAGCTGGCTGACAGCAGGCTGGACTCCCACCAGAGACCCCTCCTTGCAAGGCCCCAGCACGCACCTGCCCTGTTCTTTTTGGGGTCCCCCATCTTGCTGGGGCCCTGGCTGCTCCCCTGTTGGAGGCCCCAATCCCCTTCTCCGCATCTTCACTCAGTGATGTCACAGTCCCTGGCTGACGTCATTGGCAGTTCCCAGGCTAGACCTGGTACCTACCTAAGGGACAAGCAGGGCCAACACCCACCACAGGAGCCCTGCAGTGGCGGGGATCTGGGATGCAGCCCCAGAGACGCTGTACCTGAGTGACAGCCTAACAGGGGCTTCTTCCTGTTTCCCACACCCCCAGGCTGTGGCACACCAGGACTCCCCAGCAGGAGAAACTTGGGGTTCAAACCAAGACCGGAAAGGAGCCTGACCAGCAAGGGCTGGTGCCACCTGGCCAGCGGGCAGTAGGGCTACCCATTAAGTTGGGATCTGATGACCAAAGGAGATACATGCCTGCCCCATGGGGCTGATGGGAACTGAGGTGGTTGGGGGGCAGCGCGTGGGACTCCTCCAGAGACCCATGCAACGGCCAGACTTCCCAGCACCTTGTCTTTGGAGAAAGGTACCTCAGCTATCACCACAGCTTATCTGCTCCCAGTCATACACCGCTGTCCCCCAAAGTGCAGGGAGATGAGCTGGGGATGGGTACTGGAGGGAGGGAGGGAGGGAGGGAGGGAGGGAGGGAGGGAGGGAGCACTGTGGTGCTGGGAGTGCTTCTGTGCAGCAGTGAGGCTGGGCTGCTGGGCAGTGCAGCCATGGCCAGTGTGTGTGTGGGGGGCTCAGCATCAGCCAGTGAGGACCATCTGGGGGACCCATCAACAGACTTCAGAGCGACAGCCAACTGCAGCCTCAGCCACACCAGCAGCACTGTCCGCAGTGCTCAAAACACTAACACAACCGGGCAAGGCGCTGACACAGGATGGTACATGGACCTGTCAGCCAGTGCTCATGGGGGGGGTCCTGACAGCCAGTGCACACGGG